CTCTCAACACTCCTATGAGATAGGTATTATTAGCTAGTTTTACAGGGGATGAAACTGATGTACAGAAAAGTTAAGTAGCCTGTCCAAGGTCACAGAGCTAAAAAATAGCAGAAGCAAGCTAGGTGCCTGCTGGTAGCTCACACCTAAGAAGGCTGAGATCTGAGGTGGTTTGAAGCCAACTAGGGCAGAAAAGTGCAGAAACTCTTAACCAATTCACCACCAAAATGCCAGAAATAGAGCTGTGGCTCAAGTGGGGCAGTGCCCAGGCCCAGAGTTTAAGCCCCAGGATTGGCTAAATACATAAATAAGTAAATTCCAAAAAAAACCCCACAACAAACAAAATGCACCAGACGCAATACTTAAAGCAGCCTGGCTCAATAGTCCCTCCTTTGGAGAGAGTGCAGGAAAATAAAACCAGGATATCGTGTATGCCAAATACATGCTCTACCACTAAGCTACATCCTCAATCCATAAAGACTGTTTTTAACCTGTATGCTATTTTATTTATCTGTGTAAGGTCTGTCTCTAGTTTTTATTTAGTTGGTAAGAGAACTTGCAAAACTTGTATGTGTGTGCCAGTCCTGGAGAGTGAACTCAAGCCCTACATGTTCTCCCTAAGCTTTTTTGCTCAAGGTTATTTACCACTTGAGCCACTGGCTTTTTGGTGATTAATTGGGGAGAAAAGAGTCTCATAGACTTTCTTGTCTAGGCTGGCTTTGAACCTTGATCCTCAGATCTCAGACTCCTGAGTAGTTAGGATTACAGGCGTGAGCCTCTATCACCCAGGCTCAAAACTTCTTAATCTCAGCCCCCTTAACTTAATATTCCCATGAGGTTCCTACACTATAGCCTTCTTGGATGTTTTTTCTCAGAGGTTGGTCTATGTGTAACAAGAAGATGTATGGACTTATTTTTCAGTCAGGCAAGTCCAAATTTTGCATTTTCCAACAAGTAAATGAATAAAGCCAATTCAGATTAGGCTAAATTCCATTGCTTTCTCTCCTGAATCTCACCTTAAAGCAGATGAATAAATACTAGACCTCAATTTCTATTTTTTTTTTTTTGCTTATGTGGTGGTGCTGGGGAATCGAACCCAGGGCCTCATGCATGCAAGGCAAGCGCTCTACCACTGAGCCACCTTCCCAGCCCCTGGACTTCAATTTCTTCAACAAAACAAAGGTTATAGATTGGTTAGTCTCCTGCCAGTTGAAATACTGTTTTGTTTTTGTTTTTCTGTCAGTTGTGGGGCTTGAATTCTGGGAATGGCCACTGTCCCTGAGCTCTACAGCTCAAGGCCAGTGCTCTACCACTTGAGCCACAGTGCCGCTTTCAGTTTTCTGGTGGTTAATTGGAGATAAGTCTTAGGGACAGACTTTCCTGACTGGGCTGGCTTTGAACCATGATCCTCAAGTCTCAGCCTCCTGAATAGCTAGGATTTCAGGTGTGAGCTACTGGTGCCTGGCTAAAATTCTGGTTTCTTATTGGTGGGAGAGAATGAGAAATGACCAAAGAAACTTGTGAATGGTTATTTGTTTTATTGTTTTATTAATGCAACAGAACTGTGTTGTATATACAAATGGCAGGAGACACAAGGGGTTGGAGATGCTGAGTATAGGATATGCAATGATGAATTAAATGCAATCCCTATCTTTATGGATCCTAAGATCTGTGAGGGGAAATGGCAGATGCACAAGAAATTCTAATGCAATATGACAGTATTAAATATAAACTGGAGTCGTTCGATCCCCAGTACCAAAAAAAAGAAAAAAGAAAAGACAAGAAAAAATACAGTTAAATATAAGCTGGAATAAAGCAGCATAGGACAGTTGGAAAGGAAGCAACTGATTTTGTCTGGGGTGGGGTAAATGCTGTGGATGATGTATTGTTTCATTTGAATCTTGAGAGAGAATGAGCTTCACAAGCAAAGGGGAGAATGAGTTTGTGCCAGTCCTGGGGCTTGAAGTGAGTACCCGTGCACTGTCTCTGAATGTCTTTTGCTCAAAACTATCACTCTACCACTTGAACCTCAGGGCCACTTCTGGCTTTTTCTGAGTAGTTTATTGGAGATAAGAATCTCAAGGAGGGCTGGAAAGGTGGCTCAGTGGTAGAGTGCTTGCCTTGAATGCAGGAGGCCCTGGGTTCGATTCCTCAGCATCACATAAGCAGAAAAAGCCGGAAGTGGTGGTATGGCTTAAGTGGTAGAGGGCAAGCCTTGAGCTGAAGAGCTGAGGGACAGCGCCCAGGCCCAGAGTTCAGCACCCCCCCCCCAAAAAAAAAAAAAAAATCTCAAGGACTTTTCTGCCCAGGCTGGCTGGGAACTGGAACTCTCAGACCTCAATCTCCTGAGTAGCCAGAATTACTATAGCACTATAGCGTGAAACACCAGTGCCTGCCATATTTTATTTTAGAACCCAGGAGGTATGTGCATGCTAGGCATGGATGTTTTATTCAGATCACAGGGCCTGGCCTCTGTCCCTCAACCTTTTTGCTCAAGGCTAGCACTCTTCTACTTTACCCTACAGCTCTACTTCTGATTTTTATGTGGTTAATTGGAGATAAGTCTCACTGACTTTCCTGACAGGGCTGGCTTTGAAAGGCAATCCTCAGATCTTAGCCTCTTAAGTAGCTAGGATTATGGTGTGAGCCACCAGTACCCAGCTAACTTAAAAGACTTAATGATGCTACTCATGGACACGTAACATATGGAAATATACTCACTGATTTTAGGGTAAACTAAGGAAATTTCATTTATCAGGCAAACGAGCCTATGTTCCAGTAATATTACATCAAAATGCTCTCAAAATTTTTCCCATAATATCTACTCTGATTTATGTGGCAAAAACAAACTATATAATGGCATGAGGGCCTATAAAGTTTTTATTGCCACTTGTTTGGTATTGCCTGCGTAACCAGTTGCCGGTATCTCAAAGCAAGTGCAGTAAAACATTCACAGCATGTTACTCTATTTCCTACCCTTCCTATAGAGACAAAACTAATGCTCACAAAATATTATAATAGCTTGTGGTGAAAAATTGTTTCATTTAGATTCCAGGTTTCCATTTTCCTGGAAGGAAAGCAAAGTGGTACTGAAGATATTTATTTTAGTTCTCTGCAGGGTCAAAGATACGGCAAATACCTTCTCCTAGGAAAATCACTTCCTAAAGCTATCCTAAGTAAATGCATACTGTAATTAACATAAAATTGGCTAGGTTACTTGTGTCCACACACTTAAATTCATTTGTAAATAACCACTACTTACTTGGCTTCTTCACCGGGAGACCGAGCTCTAAGCATCACAGGTGCAGAAGGGCTTAGAAAATGGCATGAATAGGAACAAAAGGAGGTCGGCGCCAGGAGGAAAACAGAATCTCCCAGAACAAAATAAATCTTGGAAGGGAAGGGGAGACTTAACACCAGGTATTATTGAAAGTTGAAATTGCCTTTTAAAATGGTCATCAGAGATAAGTGTATCAGGTTTGTTAAGGTCTTCCACTACGCTTGTCTGATTTGCTTAAACGTTTGGCTTATTTTGAGAGACACATTTCTGTGCTAAGTACCTAACAGGCGTTAAACCAATATTGATTTTTTTAAGGGAGATAATCATTAAATAGAAACTTGTTATTTTAACTTCCAATTTATGCCTCACAGACAAAACAATTTCTACGGTCCCCTCATTTCACTATTCACAAGAAGAAACCCAACTCTACCAGGCAACGGGAACAGCCTCACAGAGTCATTAAATTATCCACACCCAACAGCTATCGGAGTCAGATAAGGAAATGTTTGGGTAGAGAGTCCCGCTGAGATTCCAAATCTCCAGCAGAAACACCTTGGCATAGAACGCATAGTGAGTTTAAATTTATTTTTAATTAAAGTCACCCAGATGGTATATTAGGATTAATCAATGAAGAGGCGGTATTTGTCTGGGGATGGATTCTAAAATCCAGAGTGAGAAAATCCCCAAGGTGGGGGGTGGGGACGGCTAATAAGAGCCCCAGGGAAAGGCCCTTTCACTAAAGATTGGAAAAATAATACGTTTGAATTTGAATCTCTTTGAATGTAAATCTCCCCTAGCAGCAGGGCCGGGGTCCTCCGGCCTCGGGGAGCTGGGGGCAGGAAGGGAGGGGACGGAACTGCCAAACAGCCCGTCCCGCCGCCAGCTTCAGGTCTGGGGCGCAGAGAAATCACGTTCTGGGCCCCAAGTATTGGAATCCCTCAAAATAACCCCAGGAAGGGTCACGTAGCGAACCCGAAGCAAAGCCAGAACAAGGATCCCCATCCCATCGCACCCTACCCCACCCCCGGCCGCCCCCCAGGCTGGGTTTCCGCTCCGCGTCCCCTTCCCAGGCCCCGGCGGCCTCCCAGAAGGGTCGCGGGGGGCGGGGGAGGGGGCCACGAGCGCGGATCGCGGGTTCTGGCTGGCGGGTGTCTCCCCGGGTTTTCGGAGCCAGCAGGACCGGCCCACCTGGCCCTCCTCCGCCGCGATCGTTCCCCGGCTCCCCGGGGCGGCCGAGGCCTCTCCCGCCTGACCCGCGAGCCGCGAGCGCGGGGCGCCGAGGGGAGGCGGGGCGAGGCCGCAGGCTGGGAGGGGGGCGGGGGAGGAGAGGCGGGAGGTGCATCCTGGGAAATCGACCAACATGGGGCGCAGCGGCTGCCGCCGCCGCCACCGCCGCCGCCGCGAGTCCGGGCGGCGGGCACCGCGGCTCCCCTAACGCCCAAACTGGGGCCTCGCCGCTCGGCGCCGCCTCGCCCGCCCGCTCGCCCGCGCGCTGCTCCCGCCTCCCCGAAGGGCCATGTGAGGGGGCAGCTCCCTGCGCCGCCGCCGCCTCCTCCTCCTCTTCCTCCCCCGCCCCTCCCTCCCTTCCCGCCCCCCTCACGCTGGGCCCTCGAGGAGCCCCCGCCGCCGCCCGCCCTCCGACGCCACCCCCGCCATGGACAGGAACTACGCGACCCCGGGCTTCGCCGACCCGCCGCCGCCCGCGCCCCCCGCCGCTCCCGCCGCCGCCTCCAGCGCCGCCGCGCAGCCCCCCGCTCCCGCCTGGGCCTACGAACCCCGCGCTCCGGCCGCCGCCTCCAGCCCCGGCTGCAGCGGCGCCGGCGGCAGCCCCAGCCTCAAGGCCAGGTAGGGAGGGTGGGCGGCGGGGTCGTGGTGGGCCAGGAAAGGCCGGGGATGCGGTTGGGGCCTTCGCCTTGGTGGAGCGCGGCTCCGGGGTCCGGGCCGGATGGGGAACCCTCCGCTCGCCCTCACCCCCTCCTCCCGGGAGAGGCCGCGCGTGACGCCCAGCGGGGGGTCCCGGCCGGGTGCGGGGCGTCCCGTGCGGGGATGCATGCCCGGGGGTGGGGATGGGGCGGGGGGGGGGCTGGTATGGGACCGTGGCTGGAAGGAGGGCTGGGCGGGAGTCGTGGGGCTCAGTCACCTCCCGGACCCGCACTCTCACGTGGTGAAGTTTGGGCTCTAGTCGGGGTCCGGGAGACCCAAGTCTGGCTGCGGAGGGCCGAGGGGGGCACCCGGGAGTCCGGGGCAGTGACATTCCATTGTATTGGACTCGGGGTGGTCGACGACGTGGTCTTGGGGGGCTCCTGGCGGCTTGAAGGTGGAGGATGTGAGAAGGGAAGAGGCTCCGAGTCGGGTCCCCCAACTCTGGGGAGCCCGGGAAGGCTGGGCTGCTGGAGAACCCCCGGGACGCGGGGCCGGGGAAGGGGGGCTCGGCCGGGCGCGAACGCCGAGCTGCGGCTGGGTGACATATGTTTGCAGCGGTGGCCAAGATGAAGCGATTTCCCTTCCACGCTTTTCAAAGTTGTTCTGGGCTTTCCTCCCCTTTTACCAGCAGCAGGAAGTAAGGAATCTCTTGTTTTCTGTACCTCGGGGTGACTGAGAATTGGGGGAGGAAGGGGGTCAGCCAATGCCATAAAGGTTGGAGAGCCGGGAGCACGCTTCTCCCCTCGCCTCGGTTTCTGGAACCCAGGTTCATTATGTAGCGTGGGGTTCAAGAGTTCATCTTTTCCTCCAGACTGACTGAGGGAGCCTAAAATGTTGACTTGCGTTTGATTTTTAAGCTCGCGGGAAATGTGTAGTTAGTTGTGCCACACTTTGAAACGATCCCTTTTGAACGGTAACTGGAAGGCGTGGTCTGCTTTGGAGGATTCGGGAGCGGGGTGTTTTAAAGCCACATCTCCCAAACAATACTGAATCTGGTAGGTGCAGCTTCGGGTTACAAGGACGGGGGAATCCTGGTGGCTTAATGACTTCATCCTCAGCTACCAACAGGAAGCTTCGTGTCTTTCTGATCTCATCAGGTTTCTTAATTATTTTCACGACAGAAGTGAACTTTTTTTTTAAATTTAAACGTTATCCATTATAGTGTTCTAGATTGGTTACCTTTGTCTTTAATGTTCCACGTTCATGATTTGGAAAAGATGTGCAAAGAGTAGCAGGTCTTTGTCTTAGATTGTACCTAGGGATGACTGTAAAAGAATGAAAAACAAATTGCTCTATGAAAGGGAAAATAAGCCTCCTTAAGAAAATTACAGGTCCTTTGTTTAAAAGAACTGGGTATTTAAAAATGTGATTTCCTAATTTGGATCTAAATGATGAAATGTCAAAAGCTTTTCAAAAACAGCCATAATTTTTGTTTTAGGGAGGATAGAGTTTTATGAAAGGCTGGCATACCTTCCCTGGTTTCTTTTCTGGTATCAATTTAACTATCACTTTCAAGTAGCATTTACAGTGCATATGATAATTTACAAATTAAAATTACTTTCTCCTCAGTGAACAGCAATGATAGGTATTGTGCAGTGTATTTTATATTTTAAGTGAAAAGTATTTTGTTAGGTAAACAACTGGAATGCTACTTGGTTATTTCTGGCATTTCTTTAGCAGAATACTTCTGTGGCAAGAATTTAAAATCTACATGTCATGTTTTCGAAATTTTTTTTTTTTTATCAACACTGAATGACTTCCCAAACATGTTTGAAAACAATAAATAAATTCACTTGGAACACATGATCTATTTTTTTTGTGGGACTTGAACTCTGGGCCTGAGTGCTGTAACATGATCTAAAAGATCTATTTTTTTGTTTATTGGAAGTTAATGATTCATAAATGTTGACCTCTCTCCACTGCTTTAAAAACATTTTGGGTGAGGGTCACCAGAATTATAGCATAGAAAATTCAGGCCTTCCCCCTCCCCACAAACCTGCTTTGTTAATATGTTGTGTTAAGATCGGGCCATCTGTACAGGGCTGCACACAATCTTTGATTGTACCTTATTTTGTTCTCTAAAATGTGCAAATTATTGTCCTCTTTGGTTTCAGTTTCATCAAAAACATCTGAAATATAACTCATAAATTGTTGAATAGCCTGCATTTCATAAGCTTAATCTTTAAAACATTCGTGAAGCTTTTTCATAATTCATGCTATCAGTTGAATGTTTTTGTTTCCCTTTGTGGCAGTTTCTTCTGAAGGTGCAAATGAGTGCTAGCTGTGATGATGTAATGTGGATACTTACCCATAAAGAATTAGCTTGTCTGTCACCTTGTTTCCTGTAACCTGTTCAGAAACTGACAGATGGTAATGACATTCAGTTGTATGGGATTTAACATCCTAGTTGATGTCCTCACTTGTTAGCCCTGCCGTGTATTTCCATTACTCCTTGAGAAAGTGTATGGTGAATAATTTTTCATGAATTTGAAACATAGAACAGCTCCATCATATTGGATAGTTTTATTGTTTTAACAGTTGGAAAAAAAAAAGAGAAACTACAGGCTTACTGGGATCTTTTGCCCCAGAATTTTTCTCAAACAGTATTTGCTAATTGGAAATGGTCTGGAAAATCTTCATTTGCTTTTGCTTTTCTGTTTTGAAGCCAAATGAGCATGTCCTTTGCCAATCACCTTGCCATTGGACATACCTTTTGGGAGCTATTTTAGGTGTTGTAAATGCTCTGGGTGTTGTAGGAAACTGTACCTGTTGCCCCTTTACTTGATACTTATATAGAACAGAAAGAGTCAGGATGTTTCCTCAGGGAGATAATAAATATGTTTCTATTTAAATATGCACCAGAAAGTGATTGAATGAAAACATTTTTGTTATTAAATAGATTTACATTTGTCTTTTACATTTCTAACTTAAAAGTCTGGTGTGTGTGGGTGTTGGTGTGTGTGTGTTACTTAAAAGTCGTGTGTGTGTGTGTGTGTGTGTGTGTGTGTGTGTGTTGGTGTGTGTGTGTGTGTGTGTTGGTGTATGTGTGTGTTGGTGTGTTCTACCAGTTTTTAGGATTTCTTTTTCTTTTTTTTTTTTTTTTTGGTCCGGTCGTGGGGCCTGAACTCTGGGCCTGGGCACTGCCCCTCAGCTCTTCAGCGCAAGGCTAGCGCTCTGCCACTTGAGCCACAGCGCCACTTCCAGCTTTTTTCTTTTTGCTTATGTGGTGCTGAGGAATCGAACCCAGGGCCTCATGCATGCAAGGTGAGCGCTCTACTACTGACCCACCTTCCCAGCCCCAGTTTTTAGGATTTCTAATATGGGAATTTTTTTCTGGTGATGGTATAAATGTATAATGAGTATGATAGGCACTTCCCCCTAAATCCAAAATAAGGTGTAGCTTCTTGAAAGATATTTAGCATCTATATGAAGGGTATTTGCTTGAGTATGTTTTGAATAAGTTTTATTTTTGTGGTGCTGGAGGTTGAACCACTAAGGGTCTCATGTAAGCTTAACATATACACATTAGTGAAAGGTTTCTAACAAGCTTGTGCTGAATTCAGAAAGTATTTTCTCATAGAAACAGTATTATAATAGTAGTTATCACTTCCTTCCTCGACCCTCCCCCCCAGTCCTGGGGCTTGAACTATGGGCTTGGATGCTGTCTCTGAACTCCTTTTTGCTCAAAGCTAGCTCTCTACCACTTGAGCCACAGTGCCACTTCTGGCTTTTTCTGTGATTAATTGGAGATAAAGGTCTCATGGACTTTCCTGCCTGGGCTGGCTTTGAACTCCAGTTCTCAGATCTCAGCCTCCTAGATAGCTAGGATTACAGACATGAGCCACCAGTGCCCAGCATCATTTACTTCTTGAGTAACTAGTTCTTAGTAGCTACTGCTTTATTTCATGTATACGTTTATTTAATCTCTGTGAGTCCTTTGAAGTAAGTATTCTTTTTACCTTTTTTGGATGAGCCATCGAGTGCTATACCTACAGCTGAGTTTTCAGCTCAGTTCTCTTCTAAGCACCTGGTCACAAACCCAGCAATAGATACCTCTGTGATCTTTTACTTATCTCTAGAGTGGACAGTTTTCATACCTATTTCACCTCTGCTGTTTAATGAATTATTCGTACTTCTAGCTACTTAATTGCTCTGTCCAAAAACCTGGGAGTTGTGTGTTCTCTTGTCTTCAAGCCCTACTGCTTTTAAAACATGTTTTGAAATTCCCCAATTATTTCCTTTTTCACTGTTCCACATTGATCTAAGCCACCATTATTTTTGTGACTTTTTTCTTTTCTTCTTTTTCCTTCCTTCCTTCCTTCCTTCCTTCCTTCCTTCCTTCCTTCCTTCCTTCCTTCCTTCCTTCCTTCCTTCCTTCCTTCCCTCCCTCCCTCTCTGTCTCTCTCTTTCTCTCTTTCTTGCCGTGGGGTTTGAACTCTGGGCCTGGGCACTGTCCCTAAGCTCCAAGCTAACACTCTACCACTTGAGCCACAGCACCACTTCTGGCTTTTTCTGCTTATGTGGTACTGAGGAATCGAACCCAGGGCCTCATGCATGCAAGGCAAGCACTCTACCACTGAGCCACCTTCAGAGCCCTAACCTGGAACTTTATATTTTGGGATCTCCCCTCAGTTCATTGTCACAGCAACCCAGAGTGTTGATGCACTCATCAGATTGATCCTGTTGCACCTTTGCCTAAAAACCTTTTCATGGCTACGGGGCTGGGAAGGTAGCTCAGCGCTGTGGCTCCAGTGGTAGAGCGCTAGCCTTGAGCTGAAGAGCTGAGGGACAGCGCCCAAGCCCAGAGTTCAGGCCTCATGACCGGCAAAAAAAAAAAAAAGTTAAAACCTTTTCATGGCTGCTCCTACAGTCTGTAATATGTCTTAGATGGCCTTGCATTTAATGGCCTTTTTGAACTTTTA